GCGACATATTTATGGAATTTTCCCCGTATTTATAAACCAATTTTGTCTGAGATATGACCGTTTTCATTCATTTTGACTGAAAAAAATTGAACACTACCATTTTCAGCTGTTAGATGGCACTCGAGTAGAAAGGCTTGCCGTTGTATCATGTAATGGGTAAAAGTGGCTATTAATGGCACAATTGGCTTGCCATAGCCTGCCGCCGTCGTCTGCCTGTAGCAACCGAATCTGCTTCATTTCGCTGCGCTGCCCCGGCGAAATGCAGCAGATATGACTGTCAAAGTGCATTTATTAAGTAAAAGTCCAACTGAGACTCACCTTTACTATAAAGTCGAGCAAACAAATAATTGTTTTTAGGTGATATCTTGTTAAATTTCGAATAAATGGACTGAGTCGCCCTCTGCACGTTCATGTTTCCTCATATCGGCTTTTAAAAATGCAGCTGATTCGACCGTCCAAGTGCATTTATTAAGCAAAAGTTAGACTGAGACACACCTTTACTATAAACTCCAGCAAACAAGTAATTGTTTTTAAGTGTCAATCTTGTTAAATTCTTCTAGAAGTCCTCCTGTGCATGCTCCCGCCATTTGGCAGCCCATTGATTTTTGGCACAACACCGGCCCACGTTTCCAGGTTGTCTGTGGTGACGCATAACAAACGTGATGCATCAGTGGTGACTCATAATAGATGCGACGTATACGGCGAAGTGATGTATTTAGGGATTTTTCCACTTTATTAAACATATTTGGTCTGATGTGACTTAAAGGGCGGTGTGATGTGTACGGTGGAAGATACAATATTTGTCCAAAGTAATATCATGGGGAATTCCAACCCTATATTTAAAAAGAAAAATCCTTTACTTTCATAATGGCGCCAAACATTTATATAAAGGGATTTCCAGGTGCTTTCTGGCAGAGAAAAATGGTCAATTTTAAGGATTATTATCATAAATAAAATGACTTCTGAATATATCTGTTGGAAAACTTTGATTTAAAGGTAGATTAGGACATTTACACACTGTTTTAGTTACTGGAGCACTAGATGGTTTTGAGGACTAATTTATACACAAATCTGAATTGCGGCAAAAATTAACATTTTGACTTATTTTGCACTGCAGCCTGTGCTCATGCACTCATTTTGTCAGCACAGGTTACATGTTTGAGACCCTAAAACTCTGTAAAGAAAGAACAAATAAAGATGCAGGCTGTTCAGTATAAACATCTGTTTTTAGGCAATGTGATCTGCTGGCCATCTTGAATGATTGGGTTGGTAAACTTAAATGTTGTTCTACTGTCCCAGAGTTTTATGGTGGGTTCAGAAAGCTTAAATATTAATTTATGGATTTTTCCATAAATTACATAACTATGCATGGACAATTTTAGTTTTTATACTTAAATTTACAGAGAATTTACTTGTTTGTGATTGCCTGATGCCAAATGTCAAAATTGTGTGCCTTTCTGAAAATTATGGGCTTAAAAAAACAAAAAACAAAAAAAAAACTTTTTTTCCTTCTGTCCATGTTATTTTCATACCAATTATTTATCAGAGGATCCTTTTTTAATAATGTATTTTGTACCATGCAGTTATTTAACCAGTTTAGGTGGAACAATGAGGCTACAAGGAACAGATGTGCAGGACTTCATGTATTTAAGGTCCACTGTCCAGGAAAGTGGGGGATGTGGTACAGGGATAAAGAAGAGAGCCCAGGCAGGATGGAGTGGATGGAGAAAAGCTTCAAGAGTGATTTGTTATAAAAGCATGTCAGCAAAGGTCAAAGGAAAAGTTTGCAAGTCTATTGTGAGACCAGCTATGTTGTCTGGTCTGGAGACAGTGGCACTGACAAAAAGACCAGAGAAAGAACTGGAAGTAGCAGAAATGAAGATGTTGAAGTTCTCCTCGGTAGGTAACATTAAAGAGGCCAGACTGAGATGGTTTGGACGTGCAGAGGGGGAACTCAGTTCAATTCAGTTTATTTCTATAGTGCCAAGTCACAACAGAAGTCTTCTCAGAGCACTGTACAAAAACATTCACATACAAAAGGCAATTAGTAAAAGTCATCCATCAGGAAGCCAGCAGATTGTATAGAAGCTTCACTTTTCACAATCTCCCATCCTGAGCAAGCACATTGGCAACAGTGGAAAGGAAAAACTCCAATTTTAACAGAGAATCGTCCAGCAGAACTAGGCTCAAGACGAGCAGCCATCTGTTTAGACCGGCTGAGTTTGAGAGGAACAGGAAGGAGAAACAAACACAGAATGGCAGGTCCAGGTTTACTTTCTATTGGAGGAAAGACAAAAAACACATGATAGAAATAATTACAAATACAAACGGATAGAATAGAGCAAGTGAAGACAGCAGCAGAGTGAGGAAATGTGGCCAGTTTGTCCTCTAGCAGTCTAAAGGCTCTAGCATACTTGGGCGTACTTGATTCCACGGAGGTGTGCGCGTACCAGATTAGAGTCGAAGTGGGCACCCGCAGGGTATGTCCGTGCAAAGATCAATTTTTACAAACACATACTCAGTGTCACACAATAAACGGCCCGGCGACAAACAGTTTTGTATTCGACACCAGTGTATTAAATTCCCCTTCTTCATCCCTGATCAGGTTTAATGGCCTTTTCTTGTTTTGTTTTCCCAAGAGGCAAGCAATCTCTTCCTCCTGCTCTGTTGATGCCATGACTGAAATTGTGAGAAATTAAGGAATTTGTCACGAGTGAATTAAAATCAGGTCTAACGTGGCTGCGGGAGGGTCTGGAGATTTCCTGGTGGGCTGAACTGATGTGTGGACTGCAGGGCCAGTGCTCAGATTTAAATTTTTTTTTTATTAATATAAAACTTTTATTAGCAACATATAAACACAGAACACCGCTGCCACTTGCTGCCAGCTCTTTTTTTTTTGGTGACCTGTCAATCAATCCAGTAGGCGTGTCAGCAAATGACCAATCAGCGACCACAATTTGTCCCGAAGGTAAACGCCCCTTGCCTGCGGAGCTGGTCTGCAGTTGCTCAGGGTGGACGCTCGAGTATGAAGTCTCAACCCTCTGCGGACAGAGTGCACAGTTTCCACGCAGACTGAGGTTTGCCTGAGTCTGTGCGAGCCTTAAGCCTATATCAGCACAACTAAGGGATAGCCCAGGAAACCAAGCCAAACCTAACTATAGGATTTATCAAAAAGGAAAGACTTGAGCCCAATAAAACTGGACAATGTGTCAGCCTCACGGACAGAAACTGGAAGTTGGTCCACAAGAGAGGAGCCTGATAACTGAAAGCTCTACCTCTCATTCTGGTTTTGGAAACTCTAGGAACCACAAATAAACCTGCAGTTTGAGAGCAAAGTGCTCTGTTAGGAATATATGGAACAATAAGATCTGTAATATATGATGGAGCTAGGTTGTTGAGGGCTTTTGAATTCTATTCTGAATTTGACAGGGAGCCAATGGAGAGAAGCTAAAACTGGAGAGATCCATTGTCTGGGGCTATGAAAACATCATTATTTCACCAGTGCTGTTTTTGTGCTAGGATGAGCCCCTGACTGAAACTCCTCAAACAGAATAATGCTGTTCAGATGTTCACACTGTATACATTCTACATCACACTCTAGTATACATGTTGATGGTTTGGATGAAGCTATGAAGGACCGTGGATATCTTGGTAGAACGACAGAAGAAGTGCAGCTGCCAGGAACAAATCCACAGTAGATATATGGATGCAGTTAGAAAGGACATGGAGGTAGTTGACGTGAGGATAAAGTGAAATGGAGGAGAATGATTTGATGTGGCGATGTCTGAGAAGGGAACGGTCAAAAGAAGGTATTGCAAGTTTAACATGACTGTTGGTAATAAAGTCATGGATGTTTGAATTTCCGGGGCTTTCTTTTATTTGCCTGCCTCATACTGTTATAAGAGCCAATTTGAGTTCAGTTTCTTTGAAGTGTCTTTTTATAGACGAGCACCTAATTCACCTGATACATTAAAAGTGATGCAAGATGTATTTTTTGTTGCAGTTGGGCAACTTATTTGCCCAAAGATTATTCTAAAATCCTACAGATGTGTGGTCATACAGTGTTTCAGTGATGTCCGTAAGGACCAAATGCCTCTTGTCACAATTTAACCAGATCATTGTTCATAAAAAATGGGGCGCGGCATTAAACGGATTGTTTAAAGTATAAGCTTGTGAATGAGGGGGGTGGGGGAAAGAAGGAAAGAAAGCATGTGGTTAGGTTGGGTTCATTCATCACACTGGGAGAGGCAATTAGCTGGAAGCTAATGAGGGATTTAATGACTGCAGCAAAACACAACTGGTGAGGGAATATGGAAGGAACCGTCTAAAAGCTGAAACCGCAGCATTCCCCATATGAATAAATGTGATGGTAAATCCAGCCTCACCCACTGTAGATATGGAATGGTGAATCTTTCGCCTCATTTCGTATTTCTATGTAAAAACGTCATGAGTCGTGACTCACCTCGGCTCCTAAGTGCTCCCATTTTCTCCTCGGATTCACTCTTGCGCTCACAGCTTCTTGCTGGAAAACCCATCGAGAAGACTTTCTTAATGTTTTTGCACTTGGTAGAAACAGCAGATCTAATACAACCCACCCAAACTTCACTTTAGTGTGACCTTTTGCTTCAGCGTCCACTTTATACACAAAGCATTATAAATGAAGATGTAAAAGCAGCCCTGCTGTGTAGCTCAGATAAAATCACTCAAAGTTCTCTGTGCAAATTATTTTCCTACACCAGTCACTATTCCCCCCCCACTTCTTTAGTGTGTGAAAACAAACTGCGGTTCTTTCTGCAGCGTCATGATGTTGAGTTTCTCCATCAGTTCCTAACCATTGAGCTGCTTATTGATCACTGATGATCTACGATGTGTCCCATAAACAATTATGCAGTTTTTAACATGCATTAAAATGACAAAATACTGCATTGTGTGCATTTGTTTCCAAACTTCTACAGCTCGTGTCTGTATCTAATCATTGTTTGTCTGCTTCTGAACTGCAGCTCGGACCGGCTGATGGATGACACAATAAGGTAAACCTGCTTTATTTCTTATGCACGCACGACAGCTTCTTTATATTTCACAGAAATCCCCACAACAAAAATAAAATAAAAATTTTGAACTTACATGGCTTTAAAACCCAAAACTTTTAGATTTAGATTGGACCTCAGTCACAACTAAAACCCATTTGTGGATATAATTAGCATTCTTCCCTCATTGAATTTGCATATTCTTAACTTTATGCTGATAATTTACCGGTAACTGACAAACGTTTCAATTACCTGACATGAGTTGGTTAGTGTGCCAACCTTTGGTCACACACAGCTATCAAAGCAGAATAAAAAGTGCTGTCTCTTTGAAAACCCTGGATTTCCAGAATATTTCCTCCCATTCCACTGATGTATATTGCTACCATCAATCTGTTACAGCTTGTCTCGTTTCCATAAATCACAAATCACCGAAACGTTGCGAGGATTTAACGTCTCTCCTTCATTTCAAGTTGTTTCGTCATGTAATCATTTCTCTGCCGAGACTTGTTTCAACAGCAGCCAAATTTATGAATTCATTGACTGAAACTATACAAAATACAGTGAATTTTCTTCAGTTTTGCCCTTTCTTCAAATCTTAGTATATTTTTTTGCCTTTATTAAATTTAATTAAGTTATATACCTACGTAATTGTGGTGGTAAAATACGTTGAAGCGCGTTTTCCCTCCTTGATCATAAGGAAGCTGTAAGATCTTGTTTACTGCTCTGCTTTTTTATTAACTGAAATTAGCTCATTTTGATGTTTCAGCAAAGATATATTTCATTTTCTATTAAGAAAATAAAAAAATAAAGTGTGAACTTTTGTTGTTTTAAATGTTTACAGTAGAGGATTGATTTTAATCATCCTTATGGATGTCATTTTAAAATAAAAAGTTAAAACAAATGAGTCCTTTTCATGTCGGATACTGTCTTGACTGTGGTTTATGGAGACGGTGTTTAGGCTTTTAAAGTTACTTTGTGGAAAAGTTCCTATTTTTTTTTTTATTCAGAGCTAAATTTAGCGCCTTGTTTCATCTGATCCGATCCAGTGTCCTTATCTTCCAGCTCTGATTCTCATGAGCTGGTTAACACAAACACAAAAGGCCAGAGTCAGCACAGCGTTTTCCTCCTGACTGAGGAGAACATGATCCCCAAAACGTAGCTCCGGGCCAAGGCTGCGGACTTTACCCTCAGCAGTTTCCAACTACCGGAGACTGTTCACATATCCCACTTGCAACAGGCACAGTCTTAAAACTTCAGTTTGTTTTTGTCCTTTTTGGTCATTTCTTACTGTTCACCTAGCTGTTCTTTAACACTAGCATAATAATACAAATATTGTGTAAGAACTGTTTTTATAAGGTCAGCAGTCCAACCTCAAACTGCCTTGACTTATTCAGAATATTGTGCTTTTTTAGCACATTTGTATACCTCACATAATTAATGGAAATTTAAACATTTTATACAAAGAAAGGCCTTTAGATACAAAGTTACCCCAACCCTAATCCCTTAAAGAAGAGCTCAGAGGTGGGGTCAGTGTCTTTTATTGATTACTGTGTGTAGCAGATGCTGGTGGGGCAAGCATGGAGCCTGAAATGTTTCCTGCCAACTACCCAGCAGCAATTCTACACTTTCACAGGGTGCTGAGGCTCAGGTTGGAGTGTGAGGGAGCCACAGGTTCCCAGAAATACTACACCTACGCTGCGCATCGTCTCACACACAACATTGGGAAGTAGGGGTGCAGACGGTGCTGCAGGACATGGATGCTCAAGTACAAATGAAATGATGAATTTAAAAACTGAATTAAAAAAATGTTTTTATTAGTGGTGCACATGCTTAAAAAAAAACATTTTTAACACTTGAGTTTTGAATATAGTGACATATACTCCAGCACTGTTGGTATAAATGTGTGCAAAATCAGTCACAAGGAATTTTTCAAGAAGTTATTTTTAAATTCTCTAAAGCTTGAAAATGAGGCATAGTTTGTTGGAATTTGGTGATTTGTCACCTAGCTTAAAAGCTAGTTTTATTTAAGAGTGCCGGTTTGAAAACTTGATTTCCTATTGGACTAGAATGTCATTGAGAATTTTAACTGAGAATTAACTATATTTAAAAAAGGGGGATTCCCAAGTGTCACAGTGACAGACATTATACAAAGAGACTTCCTGGTGCTTTGTCAGCTGGCAGAGAACAACGGTCAGTTTCAACTGACATTATTGGAGTTGAAATTAAAAGCAACATGTTTGAAGACTTACATGTTTGATAACTTAGATTTAAAAGTAGACGAGAAAATTATGCTTTTTAGTTACTGGGATGCTAAGAGGTGTCCTTTTTCTCCTCGTTTTTACACAAGCGTCCATTAGGGCAACAATCAATTCAGACTCATTTCACCAGCACGGGTCACATTTTCTGTCCAGATTATACAGCCTGTTTCTAATATCCAGATTTAGATCAAACAAGATGCACTGCTGCTGTGCATTTTACTGTATATATTTGGTATTCTGGGTTTTTAGGGTCATACAACACACATGCTCACAAGAAATGTGTTCCCACGGTCACACACTGTGTAGGTGACCTATTAAAGTTTATGGAGATCTCCCAGTTTTTTGGTCTTATTTTAAAATATTTTTTTCTGGGTGAATATCAACACTTTAGAAGACTGAACTTAAACATTTCTGTGCAAACAAAAAACAGACTAAAGCTTGTGTGAGTGTTTATATGATCACAAGTTTTATTCTGATCTCCTTTTAGCACTTCACAGCTTCAGATGGCCCCACCCCTTTCATCTGAACTGGAGTCCTTCCCAGTGGAATTGAATTTCCAATCAAATGTTGCCTCACTTGCAGTAAAAAGCACTTTACACTGTTGATCTGTGCCACCTCTTCTCCACTTTAACTCTGTCTCTTTCTTTAGCATTGCCATGGCGACCAAGGAGAACATGACCTCCCAAAGGGGCATGTTGAAATCCATACAGAGCAGGGTCAACACGCTGGCCAGTATCCTTCATAATTATGCACATAGTTGTGTGTGAGGAACCAAGTACTGGTTAGTTTGTCTCGTTTTTGTGATCATCCTTAACTTTTGCCCCCCTCAGATCGTTTCCCAACCATCAACAATCTGATCCAGCGAATCAACCTGCGAAAAAGAAGGGACTCTCTGATCCTCGGCACTGTGATTGGGGTCTGCACCATTCTCCTCCTCCTCTATGCGTTCCATTGAAAACCTGCTCAGATGAATACTTTAGAGACAGGTTTCATCTGCTCTTTGTAGCGTACGGACCCCCCCTCCCCTCCTCTCTGGGGACCCAACTCAGTGACTGGAGGACTCTGGAGGTCATAGAGCAGAAAGACATTTAGTTGGTCCAGTTGTGGGACTGAAATGTGATTCTACTGAGTTTGTATTTTACCAGAGAAACAGTTTAAGGACTGATGGACACGTGTTCTGCCACCCAGAAGCAAATGAGGATTAAAAGTACTAATAAAACCAATTTTTTATTTTTTTTTATTTTTTAAGATCTTAATAAGAAAAACTTGGAAAGTGCAAGAAACAGAGACTCTGATGCATTTTAATTCCTGATGTTGAAGTATTCTTTTTTTTTCCTTGAATTGACAGAAGGGGCTAACTCATTGTGAACTGTAAAAAGTGAATTAATAAATTATTCATATCAGTTTGTGTTTTAAGAAAAATCCTCTGTCATTACTTGTTTTTCATTTCTTTTATAATGTGAATCGAGAATCCAAATGTTTTAAGTGCCCTGTCATTTCTGAAAAGGTTTCCCTTCAGGAGAGCTACAAAATCCAGTCTTTTACTTGATTTACCTATGGTCCCAGCTGATTCCATTTCTTTTTTTCTTATCATAGAATAAATAAATGACTGGAGGATGACGGACAAAGATTTAAACATCTGATGTGGTTCTTGCTCAGCTCAGTTTAAACCATATAATCAAAGGATTAGCTGCAGACATTTACATTGTTTGACAGTTTTGTTTTTTTAATCTTTGTTCCTTTTAATATTTGGTGCTTGAAAGTTTGTGAATTCTTTATAATTTTCTATATTTCTGCATAAATATGACCTAAAACATCAGATTTTCACACACGTCCTAAAAGTCGATAAAGAGATCCCAGTTAAACAAATGAGACAAAAATATTATACTTGGTCATTTATTTATTGAGGAAAATGATCCATTATTACATATTTGAGTTATAAAAGTATGTGAACCTTTGTTCTCAGTACCCGGTGTGCCCCCCCCCCCCCGGCAGTAATAACTGCAACTAAACATCTCTGGTAACTGTTGATCAGTCCTGCTCACTTGCTTGGAGGAATTTTAGCTCATTCCTCAGCAGTACAGAACAGCTTCAGCTCTGACGTTTGTGGTTTCCTCACATTAACTGCTGCTTCAGGTCCTTCTGCAACATCTGGATTAGATTAAGATCAGGACTTTGACTTGGTCATTCCAAAACATGAACTTTATTCTGCTTTAATCATTCTTTGGTAGAACCGCTAGTGTGCTGAGGGTCACTGTCTTGCTGCATGACCCACCTCTTGAGATTCAGTTCATGGACAGATGTTCTGACATTTTCCTTTAGAATTCTGATATAATTCATAATTCATTGTTCCATTAATGTCAAGCCGTCCTTGCCCAGATGCACCAAAAAGGCCCAAACAATGATACTACCACCACCATGTTTCACAGATGGCATAAGGTTCTTATGCTTCAGTGTTTTACTCCCACACCTGCCTCCACCCTTATTTTACTCACTCTGTTTAAACCATCTCTTCCATCAATCATGGGCAATGTGAGATCGCTGGGATACAAGTTGGATGAACTTCAAGCCCTAACAAGGACCCATCCAGAGTATCGGGAATGCTGTGTTATGTGTTTCACTGAGACACGGCTGCAGGATCATATCCCTGACTCCAGCATTTCTCTGCCAGACTTTCTGACCATACGAGCAGATAGAGATTTAAAGAGGAGTGGCAAAAGGATAGGTGGGTTGGCAGTGTTTGTGAACAACAGATGGTGTAATCCTGGACATGTTACTGTGAAGTGTCGTCTCTGCAGTCCAGGTATTGAACTGTTAGCACTAAGTTGTCGTCCATATTATTTGCAAAGAGAATTCACCAGTGTTATTTTGGCCACTGTTTACATTCCACCCAATGCTGTTGCCGAGATTGCGTGTGATGTCATCAGCTCCGAGGTTGCTAAGCTACAGACACAACACCCTAGTGTGTTTGTTGCAATATCTGGGGATTTTAATCATGCCTCTCTCTCTCTCTGCTACACTTCCAACATTCCAACAGTTTGTCAGCTGCTCTACCAGAGAAAACAAAACGCTGGACTTGTTTTATGCAAATATCAAGGATTCATACATCGCTAAAGCAAGACCCCCTCTTGGCAAATCAGATCACAATCTTGTGTTTCTCTGCTCACAATATAAATCCCCTTGTTCAGAGGCAACCTGCAATAAAGAGAACAGTGAGAAAATGGTCAATGGAAGCAGAAGAAGCCCTGCTGGGTTGTTTTGAGGCTACAGACTGGGATGCACTGTGCCAGCCACATGGAGAGGACATCAATGCCATGACTGAGTGTGTGACTGACTATATAAACTTCTGTGTAAACAACACCATCCCCACCAGAACAGTGAGATGCTTCTCCAATAACAAACCCTGGATTACCACTGACCTGAAGGAACTGCTAAACCAGAAAAAAAGAGCCTTCAGGGAGGGAGACGGAATTACTGAGGAGTACACAGAAGCAACTTAAAGTCAAGATAAGAAATGGCAATGAGGTGTACAAGAAGAAGCTGGAGAGCAAGCTCCAACAGAACAATATCAGAGAGGTGTGGTCAGGGATGAAAAAGATCACAGGCTTCAAGCAGAAGGAGGATCAGAAGGATGGAAGCCTGGACAGAGCCAATGAACTGAACACATCCTTCAATAGGTTCAGTTCAGGAACAAGCTCAGCATCCTCCTCTCTTGCCCACAGCCAAACTGATATATCACCCTCCATTGACCCAAGGCTGTCCAGTCACACCTCAAATACTGTATCTACCACCTCAGTCATGAACCCTTCTTCTTCTACATGTTGGTCTTCAACCAAATCAGAAGATCCTGGTACCTCCTTTGCCTACCCCCTCTGCATCTCCAGAAGTCAGGTGAGGAAGCAGCTGGAGAGACTGAACCGGAATAAGGCTGCAGGTCCAGATGGTGTCAGTCCCAGAGTCCTGAAGATCTGTGCAGAGCAGCTCTGTGGGGTTCTGCAGCACCTCTTCAACCTTAGCCTGACCCAGGAGAAGGTTCCAGTGTTGTGGAAAACATCCTGCCTTGTTCCAGTGCCAAAGAAAACTCACCCATCAGTCCTCAATGACTATAGACCTGTTGCCCTGACATCCCACATCATGAAGGTCCTAGAGAGACTTCTGTTGACCCACCTGACTAAAAAAAACGAGCACATATCAGGACCCACTGCAGTTTGCTTATCGGCGTGGACTTGGAGTTGAAGATGCCATCATACACTTGCTTCAGCAAACTCACTGTCATCTAGAAAAGGCAGACAGCACTGTGAGAGTCATGTTCTTTGATTTCTCCAGAGCATTTAACACAATCCAGCCTGATTTGCTTTGTCAGAAACGGCCTCAACAATCACCTGGATCAAAGACTACCTGACAAATAGACCACAGTTTGTGAGACTGAAGGGTTGTATGTCTGACCAGGTGGTCAGTAGCTCAGGAGCACTACAGGGGACTGTACTCTCACCACTCCATTTCACTCTGTACACCTCAGATTTCCAGTACAAAACAGACTCCTGTCATCTGCAGAAATATTCTGATGACTCTGCAGTAGTCGGGTGTATCAGAGATGGACAAGAAACTGAGTACAGGGAACTGGTGGACCTCTTTGTGGCATGGTGTGGAAACAATCATCTCATCTTGAATGTGAACAAAACAAAGGAGATGATTGTAGATTTCAGGAGAAATAGGAACAGGTCCAACCCTATTTCCATCATGGGAGAAGAAGTGGAGGAGGTGGAGAAGTATAAATACCTTGGGGTTCACCTGGACAACAGACTGGACTGGAAATGCAACAGTGAAGCTGTCTACAAGAAGGGACAGAGCAGACTGTACTTCTTGAGGAAGCTGAAGTCCTTCAGTGTTTGCAGCAAGATGCTGCATATCTTCTATAAGTCTGTTGTAGAGAGCACTATCTCTTCTGCCATCATCTGCTGGGGCAGCAGCACCAGAGCAAGTGACTTAAAAAAGATCAACAAGCTCATAAAGAAGGTTGGCTTAGTTCTGGGGACTCCTCTAGAACCTTTGGAGATGATTGTTCACAGAAGTATTTTTCATAAAATGAAGAACATTATAGACAACCCTCAGCATCCTCTTCATCAGACTGTCATACAACAACAAAGTGTCTTCAGTCAGAGGCTTCTTCAAATCCGTTGTAGGACAGACGCTACAAGAGATCCTTCCTGTCCACAGCCATCAGCATCTATAACAACTCTTCAATGAAACCAGGATGATGAGTTACCACAACATATAATTTCCCTCTGGGATTAATAAAGTATTTTTGAATTGAATTATAAGACTGAGTTTGTTGCAGCTCCTCAGACTGAAGATGTCTTTTGGATAAAAGATGAAATGTTTCAACAAGAAGAATCCCAGATGACCTGACTCAACCTTGTAGTTTCTGTGTACCATTTCAGATTGTCGATAGAAGAACCATGAAAACACACTTATGTTGGAGTATTGCACATTTTTCACATTAACATTGTCTACCTTGAAAAGTGCTGTATTGGTTTTTGATTTTAAGCCATTTGAGTGTGTATGAGGAGATGTGGGAACGAGTATGTTTGATCGTGAATGAAACGACTGCAGATATTGAGCTCACTCGATCGAAGTCTTGGGTTTTCAAGAGATTGAAAAGTGAGGCAGCCCTTTGAGAAACATCAATGTGGTTTTTCAGACTTCTTTGAGGAGTCGGTAGACTGGAATCTAAATGAAACAATTCCACTTTTGATGAAGTGTAGAGGATTTACCCATTTTCTTATCCGTATTTTATTCTATTGGATTTTTTTCCCCACTTTTATCGGCATGCATTTATAAATCAACATTCCAGTAATTTCTCTTGTTCCTCCTAGCATGTGGAGCTACAGTATGTTGGCCGTGATAAATGGCGTTCATTGCAGGTAGACTGTGTATGAGGATCTGCTGGGTCTGCAGGGTTATATGTAATAAAAGCAACAACTGTGCACTGTAGAGCAGTATACCAGCCATAAATGTGTGCAGTGCCATTATATTGAATTTGACACAAAGCAGTAAAAGCCATCCTTCTGAGCCCGTCTCAACAGAAAGTAAAGTTAACACCTATAAATGTTTCAATGTTTTTACACCACCTGTTTTAATTTGAGAGGTAAAGAGCTTATTTGGGTGGTTTTTAGCTGGTTTTTCTGGTACAGATTGTGCTATTATTACCAGTAATTAAAGTTTGTGTCAGTTTCTGTATCTAAATTATAGGATGTTAGATGATAGGTTTTTGCTCACTAGAGAATGAAGTCTGCTAACTTTAGTGATTCACATAACACAATATTTTCTAGGAGTCTTGACTCATCTAAAAATTATATTTAGTTAAATACTGAAGCTTACGTCTAACATCTTGCACAATAAAGTGGTAGATGTACTGCACAAGTCTTAAACAATCCATCACTTCTTTAAAATTTGATTTTGAGGAGCCACACTTTCCTGTTATCTTTTCAAAAGTTGTTCAGACTTCTTGAACGGCATGTCTCAATATTAATGCCTGAACCTTTAGTAGAACCAGAAGTGGGCGTGAATATGCCCACTTCTGGTTCTTTGAAAGACACTTGGTCTAAACAGTTTACATCTACCTTATTTCAGTTGTGGGCTACCAGTCATTCTGACATCTGGCAACATTGCACATAAATATGTTTATATATAAGTCAAAAAAGCAGCTGTAAAAGACCAAAAGACCAGAGTTGAATGCATACCTGGAATACCAGAAACAGATGTGGCCTTATGGCCAGGTTCAAGAACATGATCAAGAATGGGTGAAATACAAATAAAATCTAAAGAAAACCATTGAAAACCATAAGTAAGCCTGAAAAACTATTAAGACCAATTTGGAAAATTACAAGAGAGCCTGCCTGCTTAAAAGGGAAGTTCAAAACTTTTATACATTTCTGTGTCTATTGAAACATTTAGTGGTCATTGAAAATGGGCATGCTTGACTCGTAAGAAGTACATAGGGATATGACAGAATATTTATATTTAAAAATATATATATTTGATTGTCAATATGTCAACCCCAAAACTCAAAACGTTACCACTGAAGGACAAAACTCAGACCGTGCATGGTAACATTTATTCCTGACATGCAGAAAGTACACAACAGAGATGGGAACAATCGCTTACAGTTGACTGGAAAAGAAACAGTAATGTATGAATATGAAAGAAAGTCTGAGTGTGTTTTACTGACAGAGCAGGGCTTCGGTTGCACCACACACAGAAAAATCTGAAGTGGAAAGTTGCACCAAGTAAACATGGAGAATCTTTGGATTTTGCTGCTTTCAAGTGGTTGAATGCAGTATTTTTTTTTTTTTTTTGCAGAGCTATGATTCAGAATGGTTTTAAATGAAGCACATTTTGCAGAAATCTCTGGTTAAAAAAGTGTTTTTGACAGTTTTGACTTTAGGATCACATTAGCTGCCTTGTGTAGCTGTTTTAGCTGTAAAAGCCCTTAAGCAAGCATTATAACTCAACAAATGGCATCCAGTTAAATGCTCTTTTATTTAGTTAAAACGTTTCCTTATTTTGACTTGAAATGATTAAAAAGGGCATTGAAATAAAACCAACCATTTGAACAATTCAACCTGTCTTACAGTGATATATGAGCTTTAGGCATACGAGTCACTTGGATCAGCAAGAAGAACTTGCATCGACTTTGCTCTTAAAGTGATTGATACGGACAATTTGTCTTGCTTTGATTTGAAGTTATCCTTTTTAAATGCAGTTTTTTTTTTTCTTGCTCAAATTCAAAGACTTGTTCATTTACAAATAATAAGTGCACATCAGCCTGCTTGGCCCATAGCATGCAGACATATTGTGTTTATACTTTATCATATAAATACATTACATGTGAATACAAGAAGAAAAACATACAGGTAAACAATTGTTTTAACAGTCATAACATTATATAGCAATGTAGAAATGGTGTTCAAGGACGTAGAAAGGTTGCAAATGAAAAATGTAATGAATTGAAATATGCACGTACGATAATATCCATTATCGCGATAACAGTTAACAATATTAGTTGCAATAATGTCCCATTTTCTTCCCTCCTTTCATTTGTCATTGTGAAATTTACAACTTCACGTTTTTAGCATCCCCACTGCAATTTTCATAATCAGCTGGGGCATTTAGAGCCATGGGAGGCCATTTGATTAATGATTATACTGTTAGCGTTCAGTTTGTGTATGCAATATTTCTGTGCAATACATATTGCACACATTGATATTGCATATTGTAACAATAAATTGTCGATATATCATCCTGCCCAAGAAGGAATGCAGATGATGCTGCAAAAGTGTATATTAAATACAACTGTGGTAAAAACATAAACTGATGTGATCTGGAGTTGGTACAAAATTTGGCTTTTTTTTCAGTCTTTGCCAGAATAAAATAAAATGGAAAGTCTTGCAAGACGGAGCTGTGGCACATGTGCAAACCTGTCAAGGTAGGAAACCAATAAGAGTCATGAAGGCAGGATATTTGGTTAACAATATTCAGGCATGCATTTGGTCTTCAAAATTATACATGACGAAAAGTAAAAATTCTGTCCCTGCATCTTTACACAAACCTTTGAATTTGCACTGATAATCCAAGCGCTGACGAAGCAGCCGAACAAACCCAGCACCACTTGGTATACTAACATTTTAGAAAATGGACAGTCATTATATTTATGTATCCTTAGTTCAAATATACATTTATTTATTTTTTTACTTGTATATGCTTTGAATGCAAGACATTCAGTAAGGAATACATGAAGACTACACGAGGTGTCTCAAGTGTAAAGACTAATTTAGGAGCTTTTTTTTAAGGGAGCCTCTTGGCAGACAGAAAAGTCCATCAGTCATTCTCTCCACTTCCACAAATAATTTTCTTCTTTTCTAGAAGTCCATGTTCCAAAAGAAAAACAAACATTTTAAAGCTCCTCGTGCAAATTTGCATTCAGTCTGTCTTCTGGTTTAACAATTTACATTTGGGTATTTCATCAGGCAAATGTTTCTGGATTCTAGTGCATGCATCTTTCAATGATATACGTGTAAATAATAATTATTTTGCTTGTTGCGAGACCATCCTTTATGACTTGGCTGCTTTATTTTTGCTATTTGGTCAGGATGTAGTTGCATCATGGCATAAAGTTGAGAACTCTACTTTATTTTCCATTGAATAGTCTTTTTCTTTGTTGTATCTGTGGTTTGGCTTTATCGTTGCACGTTCCCCCCTCGCCGGTTCTCCAGGTCATGCTAGATGTAAATGAGAGACAAGAAAAAAAAAAGGCTGTCAGAAACTTATCAGATGTGTTAGACATGTGTCATCAAAACGTTGCCTGTACTTGAGAAGTGGACTGAGGTGTAGATGATGATGATGAGCAGCCCCAGGACGATGGAGACGACGCTCAGCAGACGAGCCAGTCGGCCCAGCCTTCGGGCCCCGTCCACGTCCCCGTTCTGAAGACTGTGTCTGGACTGGGAACACACAAAAATAAATTCATTCTAAAGAAAAAAACCAACATATAAAAAAGTAATCCAACTTTGTTTCCCAATTAGAGCAAAGTTTTCAGGAATATCTAAAGACATGTTTGATGATAAACAGAAGACCTGGAGCAGAAGGACTTGCACGTCCGTATGCTCTTTGTGGACTTCACGTCTGCTTTCAACACCATGATCCCCCAGACCCTGATGGAAAAACTCCTCACACCAGGACTAAGCCCCTCCATTTGCATCTGGGTCCAAGACTTCTTAACAAACAGACCACAGTCTGTGAGGATCTACAACTTCTCCGTTGTGTTGGTATTTTACCAACAAACACACAAACACAGGCAAAAACATGATTACATTTTTGCGGGTGGTCGATAAAGAAACAACCCAAACACCCTGAACGTGTTCTGTTGAAACTATACCTGGGTTTTGACTTTTACACATTCAATTATGCACGGGTGCAAAAGAAAATGGCACTCCCACAAACCAGTAGTGGAGAGTCTTGTAAGGTAAAACGCCAACAGAAATGGATTCCCAGGCATCTATGATGAAATTGTCTGTTTCAAGCTGACACTTCATGATTGATGGAGGACTGTGACTCGAAGAGCCAACTGGTTGGAGTAGCAGAGAGTGCAGCAGTGTGAAGGGGCTGTGTATCAGTTTTATGCTGAATGTATATTGCTGTATGCACGCTGCACAAGTGAGACGAGATGATTTATGACTGTGTATGTGAAACTTGATGAATGGAAACTCTGATTTGCTGCTCTGTTTGTTTCATATGTGTGAGATGGAAACCAACAAATGGCAAAAACACCGCATGTTAAAGCCCTCAATGGCAAGTCGGTGTGTAAAAATAGACAGGGAGCTCTTTTGAAGCCATTATTTTGGCAAACTGGCGGCAATATAAAGCACAAAATAATTAATTTAAGGAATGCATGTCACCTGTCACCTTTTTATGACGAAGATTTAAGCTACAGCCAGTGATTAGTTTGAGTCGGATCCTGCCGGCACAGGATCCAAGAACTCTCTTATTTTGACAGGGTGTGTACCATATTTTTCACTGTGTAAGTCGAGTTTTCTTTTTATAAAACACAAAGTTTGTTTTCTCAGTCATCCAGGTATATAACAACAAAAAAGGTTGAATCATGTCATCTGGACTTCGTTTTTTTTGTTAAAAAGAAACGTTTCGCCCCTCATCCAAGAGGCTTCGTCAGTCTGAGGCCTAGCCATCTGGTATTACCCAGAAGCCACCCTGACTCTTGTGTTTCAAGCCTGCCTCAGATACCCCTGAAGTCACCCTACAAGAGTCAGGGTGGCTTCTGGGTAATACCAGATGGCTAGGCCTCA